TTTGAAAGAAAGAAGAAATTATTTCACAGTTGAAACAGTCTTGGAAATACTCTGAAATGAAAAGCCTTTAAATAAAAGCTATGAGAAATCTGCTGACTCTATAGTTTTGTGAGCCAATGGTTAGAAAGTGAAGGGCTCTACCCAATCTAAAGCTGTTGGCTACAATGACTGAACTGCACCTAATATATGGAAAGAGAACAGTGATGCTTGTTTTCCTATTACTTCTTCTGCCAAAAGTCCTAGGGAATGAAGTATTTCCTATTCACACCCTGAACTTCCCACTGCCTTACAAAGCTTTAAAAGAAAAAACAAAACTCCATTCCTACGAGAGATTCCTGGGTCCCAACTATTTGAGTGCCAGTCTTGGAGTTCAAATTCTAAGTCAGCCTTTCCATCACTGTCTGACTTTATGTAAATCGGGGTGGTAAACCAGAGGCCTCGAGGCACGTGTGGCCCTCTAGGTCCTCAAGTGCAGCCCTTTGATGAACCCCTGCACTTGGGAACCCAGAGGGCCACATGTGGCCTTGAGGCTGCAGGTTCCCCACCCCTGGAAATTATGTAGCTAGTTTCCTCATCTGTAAAATGGGAATGATACTGATGCTGCCTATCTCCCTGGGTTGTTGCAGGGATCAAATAAGATCATGGCTACAAAGTACTCTGCAAAACACTCTATAAATGTGAGTTGTTGCACTTGTAATTCCATTAGTTACTTTTATGTTTTATCATTTCTGCTCATGCCACTATCTCATTGGGCTGTCGTAACTATTCTAATGTTATTTGTTTATTTATTCAAATGTTATTTGATTCCTAAGAGAGCTACACATTAATTTCATATGATTTCCTTTGTAAAAGTAATAATGATAGCTAACATTTCCATAGCACTTCTGAGTTTTGCAAAGTAAGGGTATTATCTCATCTGATCCTTACAACTCTCTGAAGTAAGATCTATTATTTTGTCCTCATTTTAACAGGTAAGGGAGATGAGGCTGAGAGAAATTAAGTGACTTGTCTCCTATCAGACAGCATAGAATTCAAATTCAGGTCTTCCAAACCCCAGTGCCAGTGTTCCATTCTGAAATTTAATGAACACCAAAGACAATTTTTTTTTATGTAGGATAGAAAAAAGATAATATGAAACAACAAATTTCCATCATGTTCAGCTTTTTTTTTTTTAAAGTATGTCATAAATTTAGCATGATACTTTCAAATCAGCCCTGCTTGTTTGTGGTTCTTCCTGAGCTTCCTCTGTTCTCTTCTGTGCATTTAAAAAGATTCTTTACTAATCCTCTTTTCTTCCTTTTCTTCTACTTTGGGGCAATATTATCTCTAGGTCCTTTCTTAAAGATCCATTTTTAAAATCTTTTTTTAAAAAAAACAGTTTTTGTTTGTTTTGTGAAGAAAGAGATTTTTGCTCAAGTCTTTTCATTGAAAAGGTATATCTTAGTTTCCAGAAAGGTTTTGTGGTATACTGGAAAGAATACTGGATTGGGAAGCAGTAGTCCTGGGTTCGGGTTCTTAGGCCATCACAAACAGTCTATGCTCTTTTCCTGGTTTTCTGATCTTGAGCAACTGAGTTCCTCTCTCTGGGCCTGTTTCCTCATCTACACTCATGGCATTGTTACTTTTAATTCTGAGTCCTGAAGTAAATATTTAAGAAAGGTCTGGCAGTTATTTATTAAGTGTAAAATAGGAGTGGAAACAGAGCCCCTCCCCTTTGCTTCCTCCCTGTGATCTAGGTGTTTCCTGGACAGTATTTATGATTATTCTTGGGAGTCTTAAGCAAATTAAGGATCTTTTTGCCTAACTGCAAAGTGGGAATGAAATTTTATCAGGTGTTACGAATCTTGAGAACTCGTTACTATATGCTTTTTATTATGTATGTTACTATATGCATTTTAATATGTTTTTTAAAACCTTTTATAAAAGATACTTAAGGAATTATAGGAGTCCTTTAATTAGCTCCCAACAACACAACTCCCCGCTCCCCCCCATTTCCTTTCTTCATTAGAAAAGAATCTTTTTGTTCCCAACAGGCCCTGATTGCAGAAGAGACTAGGAGTAAATTAGCAGAACAAGAGGAAGAGCCAGAGAAGTTTCGAGAGGCCCTGGTGAAGTTTGAAGCCAGATTTAATCTTCCCGAAGCTGAGAAGTTGATCACCTATTATTCTTGCTGCTGTTGGAAGGGTCGAGTCCCTCGTCAGGGATGGCTGTATCTGAGCATTAACCACCTCTGCTTTTACTCTTTCTTCCTGGGCAAGGAACGTAAGTGAAGAATCACAAATCGTAAATGACCATGAATCGTATCGAACCAATTAGTGTTCATTAAATGTCTACTCTGAGAAAGGCATTGTATCCGCTGCTATAGTGGATACAATGATGAATAAGTCATCTGATCCTCTGCCTTCTGGAAGCTTGTAGTCTAGTTGCAAAAACTAAGAATTAGAAATTTATTTAAACATTGCACTATTGTTTAATCATTCAAATCAAAGGAGAGACGTCACAAGGCGGTATGTGATTAAATGCCAAATGAATTATACAAACACATTTATTTATGTTAATTTTAGGTCTTGATTCTAGAGAACTAGATGTTATTTTTGCTACTCTAAAAATCATTTCTCTACCAGTAGGTTTGGTTATGAATGTGCAAGTCATTTTGACTACAATATTGCTTGGAAGAAATATTACTGGAACTGATGTTAGAGTAAATAAAATGAATTCTGCTTACCCTGTGCTTTTCACTCATTAACATCAGGGAAACACTTATAAAGTTCCCAATATTGAATCCTAGCCCTGTTCTTTGTAAGAATTACTGGGTGAGGAGTTTTCCTCCAGAAAGAGAATTATTCACTCTGGTTTACCTTAGGTTCTTTTAAACATAAAGATTTTGCCTTCATTACAAAGGATGATGTCAGTTGTGTATTTCGCTTCCTGTCATTCCCCTTCAAAGCCTCTTCTGTGGCCACCATGCACTTTAGATGGTAAAATTCAAGAGGTAAAAATGATGTTAATGGAACTCAATGTTTGCTGTAATAATTAAATTTTCAAAGTTGATCTATTTTAGGGAGAGACAGGTTAGTGTGTATATGAGAAGAAGGTTGGGGGAAAAATCTATAATTAAACAGTGCCTTTCAGAAATCTCCACGAGCCAGTTATTACCTTACTCACCTTCACTCCTCCCTTCTTCCCAACCTCACTTCTTGTCATTCCCTATTTGTGCTTGTCTATGATAAATGAACTAATCCGCTTTTATCTTTTTCTTAGTCTCATCTTCATGCCACTAACCTTAATTAGAATGTTCTGTGAAATTTGAAAACTGATATTCAATGATTAATTATTGATTGAGAATTGTATCTAATCAGAATCAATATTTGTGAATCACATTCAGACTTGATTGTTTAGGCCTTGCTGGACAGATTCAAATTAGCTCCCGTTAGTCAAATTTGTAAGAGTTTAACTTCCATATTCTCGTGGGTCAAAGTCCAACCACACAAATTCTAATTCATAAACTTTGTTTGACCATGGGGCTTTCCAGAGGCTTTATTTGCCCAGTTGCCCAGGGTCATGGAAATTCCCTGCTTTGACTCAGACCAATCACAGCTCATGCTTTGCCTCTCTTCTACTTGTAATTTGTATCAGATCTATTTTTTTTATTTTTGCCATATAATGTTTGTGCTACTTTTGCTTTTCAATACTACAAAAGAGCTGCCCTATCAGATGTATTCTGGCTGCTGAGAAGCCTTAGATCCCATTTATTGGCAATTGCTAGCTTTGCTAATAAATTAATCATGCTTGGAACTTTGTGCCTTGGTTTCTCTTTATCACAGATATTTTAATTGCAACAATTATCTCCCTTCTCCTCTGCCAGTTCACATCTCCTTTCCTTTTGAAACTTTCTCCTTTAGAAAGTCTCCTTTAGAAAGATTTCTGTAATAATTCTCTCATAAGAGATTCATAGGATTTAGAGCCAGAAGGGAGCTTAGAGATCACCTAGTTCAATTCTTTCATTTTACAGATAAGGTAACCATGGCCCAAAAAGTGACTTGCTTACAACCATAATTAGAAACTGAGTTTTTTGGCTATAAGCCCACTGTTTTTTCTCCACAAGTATAGCACTGACTTACTTCACTTCTGTATTGTGTCAGACTTTCCTTTTGTTTATTGTTTGTGTGTGTGTGTGTTACATCATTCTATAATTGCTGATATGTTATTTTTCTAAGTATTCCTAAGTAATGTCATGCATTCTGAGGTGATAAACCAACTGGATTATAAGGATCAAATGAGATGATTCATGCAAACCATAAATTCAGGCTGTCATCTTTATCCCAAGTTCTTTGAGGGCCCAGACTGGATTTTTGGTTTTTTTTTTTAACCCTTTTGTATCCAACTGCAGCATTTATCACAGTGCCTTGCACAGAGTTATCAGTCCTTGGTTTTGGTTACTTTAATTGACTTTAATTAAACAATATTGACTGAATTTTTTCAATCATTTTTGCACTTTGCAAAATTTTTGCATTTTCTTTAATTATAGAATGATTCATGTAATAAGGCAAGTACGTGCACACACACACACACACATACACATACACCCCTATCTCTCTATCTTCATTATTGCATGTATGTAAAAATAAGGCTGTCTAACCTTCCTAGAAAATTAACATATCATTGTTATG